CCTTTTAGTTTTCTGGTGTATCACTTCAGATCGGATTTATATTCTCATATAGCCTGCCTGCTGCGATTTCTGTGTTAAGTTTTTAGTCACAGAGAAGTGAAAGAAAGTAAGAACCCTATATAATATGTTGTGTCAAACTAAATTTTAAGAATTATATTTCAGTGAGTTAACCAGATGAGTATTTTATATTTTAAAAAAAACGCGCATAAAACAATGAAGAATATTGGGGCACCTTAAAGACTAAATCCATTTATTATGGCATTATCTTTCATGGACTATGTTCCATTAAAGTTTACGCCATAATAAAATGGTTAAGTTGCCAAGAGCTCTTTTATTGGCTTTTGCCATAGTAGACCAACGTGACTGCCCCCTATGGGAATAAACTGATGAATTACAGCAATTTGATCGTAGCATTGTTTGCACAGAACAACTTCAACCATTGTGTGTGATCACCCCTGCCTTGGATACGATAGCACACAAGTGATGCTTCATCATAATCGGCACCTGCTCTGCTCACCTCTTCTCATTTAAACTGCCTCCATCTCACGGCAGTCAGAGGGGACTAAGGAGTTTTGCTAGGTTATGGCGACTACTTGAAGAACAGACAGAAATAGATCCAGGCTCAAAAGGCTCAGAATATGACCCAACCCCAGGAGGCAGTGGAAGACAGGAGAGCCTGGCATACTCTGATCCATGGGGTCATGAAGAGTTGGACACGACTAAACGACTAAACAACAACAAAAGGTGTTTTTCGTCTTAAAGCATTCAAAAATGGTTTGCATGCTGTTTTCCTCTCTCCTCTATAGGGTTGTCAAGAGATGGAAATGATCTGGCAGCACCTAACAACTATCATTGGCTCTGCGGGCTAGGGCTGATGGGAATTGTAGTCCTTAAACATCTGGAGGCTAGGGGTTTCTCAGCCCTGCTTTAGAAGGAAGATCTGTAAGGGACGTTTGGGAACTAGTCTTATGAGAACGACTTTACACTAGCTCTCTACACCTATGGCATAACAGATGGCCTCAATCAATTTCTGTAGAGAAACTTGTTTCATGCTTATGTTGTCTCTCAGTAATTTATTCTGACCTTGTTTTTGCTTGCTATTTATTTTAGCAAATTGTGCTGCTTATATAGCAAAGTGAGCTGCTTATATACCGCCCCATAGTGCTTCAAGCACTCTCTGGGTGGTTTACAAGTTAATTATGCAAGCTGGGCACTCATTTTACTGACCTGGGAAGGATAGAAGGCTGAGTCAACCTTGAGCCAGCTATCTGGGATTGAACCCTGGGTCGTGAGCACAGTTTTGGCTGCAGTTGTTGGTGTTTAGTCATTTAGTCGTGTCTGATTCTTCATGACCCCATGGACCAGAGCACGCCAGGCCTTCCTGTCTTCCACTGCCTCCCGGAGTTGGGTCATATTCATGTTGGTCGCTTTGATGACACTGTCCAACCATCTCATCATCTGTCGTCCCCTTCTCCTCTTGCCATCACACTTTCCCAACATCAGGGTCTTTTCCAGGCAGTCTTCTCTTCTCATGATGGGCCAAAGTATTGGAGCCTCAGCTTCAGGATCTGTCCTTCTTGTGAGCACTCAGGGTTGACAGTTGGAGGATAAAGTACCAGCTAAGGTGGTGTAAAATTATCTGCCCCAGAACCCAGTGTAGGATCCTGCACCTGAGTGGCTAAAGATGGTATCCTCTCAATCACAAGAAAACAAAAGTAGCCATGTAGGCTAATAAGAAATATCAAATTCCATGTTATTAGAGTAAGCAGGTGAAAGTATGCATATTAAATGTTTACTTCTTAATAACAGTA